TGATGCCGGCTCAACCCGCCCGAGGTGAATGCCGTTACAAGTACAAGTAGTACTTTAGGTGCTCTAGGTTGTTTATAGTAGGAAAAAATACACTGAGCCATCGAATGCACTTCCAACATAGGCTTATACGTTTCAGTACACTTGTACGTTCGTAAAGAAGTCATGTTTTTATGCAGCTTCGTTATTTTCAATGTGTGGCATATATAATTGCCACTTTATAAAGTTATTACATTTTCTAAATAAGACCCTGCAAGAAGTTTATTTCTTCAAGCGCATTTCGCACGCATTGTAATTTCGGCAGATCTACGAAATTCCCCTTTTTGGAAGTATGACTCAGGCCAAATATATTTGGAATCAATACTTTGGCACAATAAGTTTTGGTCTACGTTTACGAATTGGCTTTACGATTGACTGAATGTTTGACCAGCTTTGCCTTAATTTCCGACTTCTTTTATCAGGACGTTTCCACTTATCCACGTGTTTAATCTGTCGGTCTCCTTCAGCTTACATTCACCTTAGAACATAAAATTTCTCCAAAAAAGCTGGATGTTATGAGAATGGACGAATACTACTTCTGTAACCTGAGCAGCAGAATTATCATAAACTTATGCAAATGGAAACATTGTTTTCCCGGAAGAAATTTGAACAAAATAAAATTATGCATTCCTTTGCGACTCGACATACACTATTTTGGCTACCTTGGCCAGTATTTTACCGATTTTCGGAGGTTTGATTGTGGCAAAGAGTGCTGTTGGCTCTGTTATGGTTGTCTACTGTGCTTTTGTATCTTTCTCCTGCTTGTGTCCTTAAAAGGTAACCCTCTCCTTCACTCTCTTTTTTCGGCACCAAACAGCATGGATCGGTTTACCTGTTCTGCCAACGGCCGGGCGAACTACGAGCATGACGCCGACTTTGATGTAGAAGTACCGCAGATGGATTTTGTCGAACCACGGCCTGTGGAGAGTACTTCCTCTCGACTTCGTGCAGCCACTTCAGTAGGTTGGATTTATTGACGGTATATTCACTGAAACTCATTAAATATGCCCACTTTCACAAACACCCCTAACACTTAAGAAACTGCCAACCCCACCGACCGCTTACAGTTAGTCATTCAAAAGGCAAAACAAAATATCAACTGCAAGTGGAGGCAAGCTCGAAGATGCGTCAGAGTTGCATTTACCATTTTGAGATCTTCACTCAAAATGGGGTCATAGTCAAAATTATCTGGGGATCGGAAATATTTCCAAAATTCGAAGATACACTTTCTTCGAGTATAAAATTATAGGACGTTTTGTTACCAACCAAGCACGAAAATTATATTTTCGATTGTGTTTTGTAAAAAAAATATTAAAATTTATAAGAGTATTGAAAATCATTGGAAAAGATGCATACGGCGTTGTTTTGACAGGCGGCTGGGTAGAACCTCGTTCAGTAGTAAAGTTAACAACTATAATTAAATAATTTTGTCCAATCGAAAATACATTTCGGAATTTCGGTTGATACTTTATGAACTAAGGAATTTACTCATGGATGAACGTTCACCGGAGCGCTAACTGAACTCATCTGTCCCGCTCTGCCGGGGGTCTCGGCAGAGGCCTTGACAACCGTAGCAGCTGGTGGTGTAGGCAGATAGTATTACCGGCAAAGACCAGGGAGACTGGAATGGCCATTTCTGACTCTCGTCACTTTCGTCACTCTCGACTTAATCCGGCAAGGCAAGGACCTCGTGGCTCGATGGTTAGGGCGTTTAACTCTGATCAAAGAGGTCGCGATTTCGAAGCCCGGGTGTGACGCCACTTGGGTCTGAATATGATTGGCTGACGACGGCTAATAGGCCAGAAATGACCATCCCAGTCTCCTTTGTCTTTACCGGTAATACTATCTGCCTAAGGAATCTAATATTTAGTTCAGCCATTTAAATCCTATATTTTTCCCCTCAAATCAAAAGTCTTTAGCTAGTCATAGTTAGGGGAAGCACAAATCTCAATTTCTTCATATAGGGATCGGCGTGTACAAAAAAAACGGGACGTCTTCCTAACCTAAGTTATTTTTAATAAATATTTTAAAGATTAGTTATCCTCAGATATTTTCTGGATTGCATATGACATATAAGAAGACTAAGTTAATATGATTACTAGCGCGCGAAGTCGACTCTATGGGACTATTTTAATTTGCTTATGAAATTTCCTGTTTTTTCTGTAATTAAGCCACTGAAAAGCATATTTCACGTGAGTAGGAATTTATTCAAGTCATGGTTTCTCGAATTTACTTCCCCGGGATCTTCTGCTTTTAACGTGTTCGGTTGTTAGGACATTATTTAGCCATTTTCCACTAAAATCCAGTGTGCATTGTTTCCTTTCAATTTTTATTCTCTCTGAACCTCTTACATTTTCTTTACAGACTTGGCACAGTTGCTGTTTGTTACTATTTTTTGTCGGCCAAATTTGGGATGAAATTGTACAAGGGCAGACTAATAACTACAGCAGTGCTTTAGGTCTGATGCTTTTCAGCTATACCAAGATCGAGAATTGAAAATGTTTCCGTCACCGTAGTAGTATGTTGTCGTGGAAGTAATTATGTGTTAGGTGCTGGGCTGTTCTTAGCCTCAGGTCATCTACCTTTTTCTATATTCTCTGAAGCTGTCGTTTTTTTATTTTACCAGATGACTGCAGTGTGCTGTGTAATCGAGCCTCAGTCGTCCTGTCGCCTCAGGTTTTGCCGTTTTTCTATTTTGCAGGTTGCTCGAACGAAACAGTTTACAGAGGCAGTTGGCGATGATGCTAACCCTGCTCCTCGTAAGTTTTCCCCCCTTCTTCGACTCCTTTGTACTCCTCAATGATATATTTCCAACCTTTGTCACAGTCTTCTTCCCTGCAAATATTTAGCTTGAGTCAACGTCTTTGCCCGTGTTAAGTGTCTTTTTTAAAAGTATTTCTGCTTTGTCATCAGCATAAAACCAAGGTCTTAACTCGTTTATTGTACCCTGTCCCTTTTTCTGTTCATTGTGATCTTCGCTTTAAAAATATTATCTTTTTCTACTCCGCCCTCTTTCGGAATCTTCGTATTTCCACCTCCTGTCTACTTCGTCTCTGTCCCCACAAAAGTCAGGTCATAAATAGTAGGCTTCGTTTAGCCTTTTAGTGCCTTGTACTCACGGCCCACTAAGGCGATCATTTCATGTTTGTTCATGAAGAAGCGGGCACTGATGAGCCCCACAATCTAAACTGCTGTACTCAGCTCTCTGTGACCCAGGGTCAAACGTATATTGTCTTGTATTCTTTGAACTCTCTTTGGTAAACCCACCCTATATTTTGTTGTCAACCTTTTTCATGTTCGTTAATGTCCACAAGCCAAGATATAATTCATAAAGCTGCTCTTGCTGATTTTTCCGACGGAACCAGGTAAAGCCCGACGCAACTTTTAGCGTTCGATTACTACAAGTATTTGTATATAGGAAACACCCCTCCCTCTAGGTTCGTCACCTGAATAGAGTTTCTTCGGTTATCTCTTACCCGTATTTTAGACATGTTATTACGTTTTCGAATATGCTTATGCGTGGTTGACATTTCGAAAATGGTGCTCCTTTCCGAAAACTTCACTGTCAGAGATCGTTTTCTCCTACAGTTGTAGGTTTTGGAATGTTACCAGTGCACATAGTGTGCATCCTCGTCTCTGCCAGTTTCCTTTATTTTTATCTTATACTGCCTTCTGTACGATGTTGTTCGTCAAACTTGTCAAGCACTGTTCGCAATCCTGCCTTTTAAATTCTGTCATAGCGGTCAGCTGGACAGTCCAACTGCAAACTGCAGATTCATCAACTTCAAATTTCACTTTCTGTCAGTGCTATGCGTTCTTCAACTTGTTGGAAGTCAGTGACCTTTATTCTTTGAAAATTTATGAGTGAACACTCCTGTAAATAATGGCTGAAGAGCTCTCGTATTGCAGTGTTTCCGAGGTCAGAAGTTATGTCGAAGGACAGTCAGCAAACTCGAATAACTGTAATTACCGTTGACCTTTTCGTATTGCAATACGTGAAGCTCTTCAGCTATTATTAACAACTCTTTAATTAGTCTACGTGCCGGAGGTTAAATATTTCACCGTTTGCTTAGGGCGTTGTGCCTTTAAAATAAAATGTCCTGTTAGACCTTTAATCATGATTGCTGTGCAGTCATGAGGCTTTTTTCATAACTTTACTGGTGTCTTCCCACATGGGCTAGAGAAAGATCGTTATCAGCTAGGTTATGTGTTTTCTAGACCCGCCTCCACACAGTGACACCGCGGCTGATGGAG